TCATCTCATCCCGAGAAAGACCTGTCTCCGAGTCTTCCTTCATCATTGGCCTCATGGGCGACCCGCGGAGAAATCGCACATACCTGGCTTGAAGCTCTAGGGATCGCTGCTTCCCTGATACAAGGAAGGTCCGAGGCACATTGAGGCTGCTGGTTTCTTTTAACTACATAGAAGAAAAGAGGCACATGGTTGGTTCACACAGGCAAGTGGCCAGAGGTGGGTTTCTATCAGTTCGCACCTATTCGGTAGAACCGGTTTATCAAATCTATTGAACCGGTTAGAAGAGGTTCCACCAGTGGACCCGGAAAGCAGGCCACACCTACAGAAGAGGTTCCAAAATTTTTTGAAACCCACCACTGCATAGGGACCTTGGGCCCACAACTCTCTCAACTTGCCCCACAGCATTATTATTGTGGGGAAAATAGGAGGAAGGTGTCTCAAATGTGTTCACCACCTTGAGTTACCTGTAAAAGTAATAAGAGTTGTGTATGTGTATGTCTCTGTGTGTAAACATATAATTAAATGGTTCTCTAAAATCCACACCTCATACAACAGCTAGTATTATGTGTATCTCTTTATTTTTTTCAGAATGGCAGAGGTGGCCTTGATAGAAAGATTGGAAAAAGCTGTAATTAAGCTTGAATCATTGTTATCAGAATCACATAGAACTTCTGGAGCCATTAATGGAGTCAACGGAGGTATGATTTTATTGTTTCAGAAACATATTTGGTAGGTTGAAAAGTGAACAATTAAATGTCGTGTGGTGGTAACATTTCTCAAAGAAAGCTAAAAGATAATCAATCACTTTCATCATATTTTTAAATTACCTATGAGGAATATTAATGTTTCATTGTAATGATTTTATGGCCTGCAGAAAAGATTTGTAATTCATCTATTAGCCACATTGTTGATGTTTTAAATTTCTTTCCATATTCCAACATTAGTGTTTCGATTGCTACAAATAATTTACTATCCAGTAAAACAAAAAAATAGCAGAAAAGATTTGCATTGCAAAAACGAAAATGCCTATTTTTCTACAAGATTATTTTCCAGTTTACTAAATTTTGACAGCACATTAAAAATGTGCTGGGGTCACTAAAAGTAGTTTAAGCGTTATTTTTATTTCGTTTTTTTTGCATACTGTTTTCCACTGGATTTCTTTTCCGTTGCATTTCTGTAGTGCATCTCAAGAAGCTCATCAGAGCTATATGATAACTTAAGAGAAAAAGAACACAGCTAATGAACTACTGATCCAATCATCCTGATCCTGCAAGTGATAGATTACAATGCAATCAGTTCTTTTAGCTTTACAGTACTGTAATACTTCATTGGACCTGGGTACTTGAGAGACCGCCTGCTGCCAATCACCTCCAATAGACTGATTAGATCCCACAGATTAGGCCTCCTCCGTATTCCATCCGCTGGCCAATGCCGTCTGGCAACCACCCGGAGGAGGGC